CACATCCTTCCCTTAGCAAAGTGTTCTGGGATGTCAGATTGTTCTGAATTTTTCAATATATTTCCCAGTGGATTTTGTAGTAGTTTCTTTGATAGTTCTTTGGTGGTGATTAGTGTATTTTGATACAGTGTGTATTGGGTTAAAGTTTGAGAATTCTACTTTCTCTGGAGTTCTCACAAGAGTGGTGTCCTTGAAGATGGGGTGATTGTGTTTATGCAGCAGGGATGTGAGATAGACCCTCTCTGATTGCTCTTCTTCACTTACACTCTGTATTCTAAAGGAGTGTGGGAGCAACTTAGATTGACACTCCTCAAGGGTGTTGTGTCCATAGTCTTGGTGTTAATTCTGTTTTTGCTATAGGAGTGGGTCAGACATGGACCCACAAATCAGACTTGGGGGCTTATTCCCCCTCTCCTTACTGTTCCTATTTGGGCCCTGGTAATTAATTTGGGGTTTTCATCTCCCCTGTTTTTCATATTAAAGTATTGTTGAAGTCTGAGCATGGTTGGTTTGTGTGTAGAGCAAGATATGCTGTCTCTGCTGGGTTTTGGATATAGCTCAGTAGCAAATCTCTACTCGTGAACTTGAAGTTTTCCAGTAGATTACCAGCACTTCACAGAAAAGGGGTAAACATACAACAGTAATGAACAAATACCTGATGCCTCCTGCAACGTCTACAATACTAGTTACCACAAAAACAGGAATGGAATGGTAAGCAGTTGCCAGCAGCAACAATAATAAATAGTCATGAACTGGATTTGGCATTAAACAACAGTTGTCAACTATGTCATCCACAAGTACTAATAACCTCAGCTACGTGAATGGTGAAGGCAGAAATTATATAAACCAAATAGTTCCTCAAGATGGTAAAAATACACTTCTTTAAGAGAAAATAGGAAGCTAGAAGAGAGTTTGGAATGTTCAAAATGTGAGCAGAGAGAAAGCAGATGAAATGTAGCAAGTGATGGCTTTAAAGTAGTAGGAGAAAAAATAAATTTAGGCGGTGAAGAAAGAAGAGAAATAAATGAGAAACCCAAAATAAACAGAAAACTCCAATCCTCAAAAGACAAAGCAAAGAAAAACAAAGAACATAAGACAATGCTAAAAGTATGAAAAAATGCACATAGCTATATGTGTATATATATATCCATGCTAGAATCAGTACAGTAGGAACACCAAAGGATGCGGGGGGGAGAAAACTCTTAATGAAAAATGAAAAAGTTGTCTCCACAGATATAGTCAAAACTTTCAACAGGAATGTATGTATGTTCTCTTCCTGTGCCAGAGAGCCCTGCTTTCTGTTGCTTTTTAAGCTGTGTACTCCTTAAAGCAAGGACTAGGGGTTGTTAAATCCTTCCTCTTTTTTTGTTACTCACCAGGTTGCCAGCTGGAGAATTCTGCAACTGAAGCTGGTTGAAATAGCTCTCAGCTTCCCTTCTCACCAGTATATGGTAGAGTGAATGGAAAGTGCTGTCAATGGGCGTTTTGTCTGGATAGACCAAATTGATGCACTCCCAAGGTGGAGCTGCTGCACAGTTCTAAGTGGGAAATTCTCTGGCTGGATTTTAACTCTAATCAGACCTTTGGGACTTGGTCAGATGGTATTGGTTCTGGAGAGATTAGATCAGCTTATACCCCTTGGCCAACCAGGTACAGATCCATACGGAGTGTCTGGATCTCAGGTGCCTCCTGAGAATTCTTTCCATAGGGTGGGGGAGTTAACCCTCCACAAGTCTCTCATAATCCACCATCCACAAATATTGCCTTCCCTGACTCAGTCCCAGAGTATAATCATGTCCACCTGTTTAGTGTCTCTACCCTATTCAGCTGGTCACATGAGGTGCGAGACTCAGGAAAAATGAGTTGCATTCCCCTCCACTTGAGTCTCCCCCCTAGGTATAATCTTCTCTGTGCCTGATTCAATCTCATTCTGCTAGGCACACTCTAGGCCACTCAGCAGTCACTTGCCAGGACAGTATGGCAGTGTTTGCTCTGATCTCCTGTGCTGCCATAGCAGCAAGCTGCAACTTTTGCCTTCTCTAGAAGTCCTCTCCACCTCAGTTCTCTGCTTGCCAATCGAGAAACTCCAAGCAATTTTCAGACACCAGCTCACTGAGAAACTCATTCAGCTAAATTGAAACTGCTTCTCTGTTCTACAGATTTTCCCGTGCCACATTTCTTCATCGTATTTCTCAGTTTGTGTTATCCTTCACCTGTGTTCCTCTGTGTAGCAAACTGATGACACTGGCGCTGCCACCACCAGCTTGGCTTCATTTTGCTCTTTCTTGTCCTTTAGTTAACATATCTAAGTTTCTGGGTCTCTTAAGAGTCTCTGTTTGATCTTGAATTTCAGTGAATTCCTTTTTTCACCCACCTTGTTGAGAAGCAGTACTTCTTCAGTTTGAATACCAACCCATGGAGCAACTGGAAATGCAGCCTTTCTATAATCTGCCATCTTGAATTCTGTTAAGAACTGTTATAGTAGTGCTTAGCTAATTGTTTTTATTCATGTTTCATTATTCATTCATTAGTATTTTTATAATTGAATCATTGTTTTTAAAATCTATATCTGTACCAAAGCTCAGAAGATCTCCAGAACTTCACTTAAGCAAAATTAGAATAAAATGGTCTGGTCAAAAATTGAGCCAGGTGTAGTGGCACACGCCTGAAATCCCAATGGCTCGGGAGGCTAAAGCAGGAGGATTGTGAGTTCAAAGCCAGCCTCACCAAAAGGAGACACTAAACAATTCAGTGAGACCCTGTCTCTAAAAAAATACAAAATATGGCTGGAGATATGACTCAGTGGTCAAGAGCCCCTGAGTTCAATCCCCTATACCCCCCCCAAGAAAAGAAAATTGAGGCAAAAATTTATGTACATATAAGATTAGTCATAACATTTAAGATAATAATTGTTTCTTGTTATTCCTTATATATATATAGAACTTAAAATGTAGTATAGTGGCAGAGGTACCAGTATAAATGAAAGTATGTAGTAGAATTTTATATTAGAAGGTAGTAAGTGGTATGAAGAAAAATGAGGCAGAGAAGGGAGAGAGAGTACCCAGATGGAAGTTTGTGGATGATCAGAAAGGGGAAGACCTCAAAACAGTGGTGAGGGACTCAGTACTCAGATAGTGGGGAATACCATTTCAGACTGAGGAAGTAATAGTATAATAATTAACACATATACTGTTGTGTGCCAGGAACTGTATACTTAACAAATATTTATTTATTTAAGCCTTACAGTAAGCCTATGAAGTAGATATTTTTACCGCTCCCATTTTATAGACAAGGAAACCGAAATGCAGAGAGCTAGTAAATAGGATGTTCAAGACATTGAATCCATGCAGAAAATTCCATTTTCTTAGGAATTGCTACAAAGTATATTAGTCATGAGGCAAGAGTTTCCAGTGTGTTTGAGTAATAGCAAAATTGGTGTGGGTACAGCAAAATGAATGGAGAATGGTAGAAACTAAAGTCTAAGTGGTGGTAATTGGAAAGTGAATGAGATGCGAAGATTCAACAACTTCAGCCATTGTAAAGATTGAGCTTTTACTCTAAAGTGGAGGGCCATTGAATGGTTTTGAAAAGGAGAGTGACAGGATTTGTCTGACTTTCCAGTATTTCTCTCTTTTTTAATATTTATTTTTTAGTTATAGGTGGACACAATATCTTTATTTTTATGTGGTGCTGAGGATCGAACCCAGTGCCTCATGCATGTGAGGCGAGTGCTCTACCTCTGAGCCACAATCCCAGCCCCTCAAGTAGTTCTTGATAAGAGTCCTTGGATCCTTTTCCCCATGGAATTTATGGGTAGAATTCAGGATAGCCTGGGCATTTAGGAGTATTTTCACTAAACTTCTGATTGAAACAGTGGTTTCTTCACATAATGTAGTTAACAAACCAGAGTAGTACTGAAGTTACCTGTGACTTTGTCATGGCCAGTACATATCACATTGTTGCAGATATCTTGAAGTAGCATTTAAGGTCATCATTACTTTGAAATTATAAATTCTTAGACCCACTGCTAGATCCCACTTAATGCACTAATTAAAAAGCAAATTGTCTTTAATATATATTTTAATAACTCTATATCAATATAATTGGTTTTCTTAGTAATCCCATGTAATTTTTTGTGTACTTAAAAACACTGAACGATGTTCAGTTGATTTCACCAGGCTGCCAAAGGAGTCCATAGCGCATAAAAGATTGTGTAAAGATTACTATGGCTGCTATGATAAGAGTAGACTGGGGAGGAAGAAAAATGGAGGGTAAGAAAAGGAGGGATACATCTTAGAAGACTTTTGCAGTAATCTTGATGAGGGGTAATGGTTAGTTGGACCAGATTAGTGGAGGAGGAGGTAGTGATAAGTGGTGCAACTTTGGATGAGAAGAAAAGGATGGCTCCAAGGATTAGGATCTGTGGAAAGAAGGATGGACTTGCTATTTGCTGAGGTGGTAGAGTCTGTTTCAAAAAATTCAGTTTTGGGTATAAGTTTGAGATATTTGTTAGACATATAAATATCACTTTGTGATTTGGTATTTTCACTTAATATATCTTGACATTTGCGTTATCAGAAAGAATGAAATGAATATGTATCCATGTATTAGTTAACTTAAAAAATTGTAAAAAAAAAACTTGTTACAAAATAAGAGTGGTAACTGGATGTGATAGAATGGTTAAATTAGAAAGAATGACAATCTTTTTTTTATAAATTTTATGTAACAGTTTTTAAAATTATAATATAGCCAGTATTTTAAAATTATAATATAGCCAGTATTATAATAATAATACTAGTAATTTTAAAGGAAATATAAATGTGAACTAAAGATGGAAAATCACCTATATAGTATGATAATGAGATGAGTAATATATGACTATTTGCCTATTTAACTAGAAGAAAAGATTAGGTTGTGCATTAAAATGTTAATAGTGGTTTTCTCTGGGTAATGGAATTTGAGGTGATTTTAAATTTTTTTATTTTAATTTTTTTTTGTAGACTATGAGAAGACAGCGAAATGAAGTTGTAGTTGAATTAAGGAAGGTGAGTCTGATAAATATTGGAACTTCCAGGCATAATTCTAACAGCAATATAGAATATATAGAAGTCAATATAGAATATATAGAAGTCGTTAAGTATATATTTTTATGCAAATATATTTCCTATTGTGTAACTAATTTTTTTGATTGAATATAGTTAAGCTTTTTTTAAATCTTAGATGTTCAACATTCTTTTTCTTTTACAAAAGGAAGTTTTGAAAAGCTATTGAAATTGGCAAGATAGGACTTGTCCACTGTGCAAAAGTAGATATAACAACTTACCAGATTTTTTGTGATTTTTATTAATTTATGTAAAGTATAAGTTATAGAGATATATAAGTAATTCTAATAATTAATAGGTGATAGGCCTTGAGAAAACTTGTTACTTATAAATTTTATCAAATTTTCAAGTATTAAAAGTAGATTGTGTAGTTGAGGATATATTTGTAAATTTGCCTCAAACATTTTTAGTGAAATTCAAGTGGCCCTTGATTTTTGTAAGACATTATTGATTTGAATTGTCCAATTTTTGCTTTGACTTTGCTTTTAGGTGATAAAAAGAAACTCCCAGATGATGTGTAAAATGGTTTAGTACTTTTAAGTAAAAATATATATGTTTGGTTCTGGCTTAAAACTATACATATTTGTGATTTGGGACTTAAATTAGTATCAGTTAAGTGTTTGGTTCACACTGTTGTTTAATTTTTTTGCATTTGAGTTTTAAAAGACACTTCATGTTTCTATAGGCCGAATCCTGCAAATCTAACCTTTGGTGTTTGGCTTTTTTTTTTTTTTGAACAGAAATTCTTTGTTTGACTTTCTTTTTTTATTTTTATTTTTTAAAGAATAAAAGAGATGAACATCTCTTAAAGAGAAGAAATGTACCACATGAAGATATCTGTGAAGACTCTGATATAGATGGTGATTATAGAGTGGTAAGTTACTATTATTCTGGTAACTTGTGAAAGATTTCACATAAATATAGCTTTCTCAGGTGACTTTTTAACTTTATTTGTTCTCTTTAACTTTTTCCCCAGCAAAATACCTCTCTAGAAGCTATTGTTCAGGTAAGTAGCTTCTCCCCACCCCTTTGTATTTCCTGGACTCAGCAATTAATTATTATGTCTCTCCATCATAATTTGTCTTATTTTTTTTTATAGAATGCTTCAAGTGATAACCAAGGAATTCAACTAAGTGCAGTACAAGCTGCTAGGTAAGTTAAGTTTTGAAGACAGATTTAAACTTTATGTGTTATATAGGGGTACTGTTTAGGGTTACAGTCAAATTTAACTTTGACAAACAGTAAACAGTAATAGAAAAACTAAATTTATTCCACAAAATTGTTCTTTGATTTAGAGTACTAACATTGGTGGCAATTTTTAAATCCTCATGAGCTTAAATAAATACAGTGAATCTTTCATGTACATAATACATCAAAATTCTAGGGAAAAGTTGATTTAACGGATTACTGCTTAGAATAATATAAAAGCATTATTTACAAAGCTTTAGCTGTTACTAATTTATAGGCTTTATTTTATAAAAGTCATATTATTCAGACACTTAACAGTCAGCTAATTTTTCTGATACCAATAAGCATACTATATCAGTGTGTAACAGACTTCAAGATATATAGCTGCATATGCTCTTGGTGTCTTTCCAGGCCAGAAATACCAAGTTATTTTGTACATTTTTGTTGTGAATCCTGTGCCCTCATATGTTAAGGGAAAAACCAGAAGAAAAAAATTATTACGAAGGCATCTGCATGAACAAATAAATTGGGAGAAGTCAGGTCGTACCATTATGCAAATGGTAGTTGCTTTGTATATTTATGAATATAATAACACCACCATATGATATGATTATTAGTGGGAAAGAGACACACAATAAATTGATCTTAGTTAATAGAATTTCAAACTGGAAAAAAAATTTCACAGGTCCATCCATTATCTTATCCAATGCATGAATCCTTTTTGTATTTTGTTCTACTTTCTACTTTTGTGTATTCACCTTAAATAACTTAGAACAAATAGGGAAATATAGAATTACATAAAAAACTTTTTAGAGAATACTAAGGCATGTAGGAAGAAAAACTACAAAACTATTCACATCTCAGAAAGGCTAATAATTAAGAAATTGTTAGTGTTGTTTGTTAACTGTTTCTGTGAGTGTATGAGCTCTGCAAGAAAATTAAAGCCCAGTGCATCTTAAGAGGTTCTCAAAGCATGGTCTGTGCATTCCTAAAGATCTGAGACAATTTCAGGCATAAAAAACAAACTAATTTTAAGACTTTTTTTTTTTTTTGCCCTTTTTCATCATGTTAGTAACCTGTACATTGATGTTGCAAAAGGAACAATGGGTAAAACTGCTGGAACCTTAACACAGATCAAGATGGGCACCAAACTGGTTTTATATTATATGTTGTATATACTGTATTCTTTTTTGGGAGGGAGCTTACTGGGGATTGAACTGAGGGGCACTTGACCACTGAGCCACATCCCCAGCCTTGTTTTATATTTTATTAGAGACAGGGTCTCACTGAGTTGCTTAGTGCCTCACTAAATTGCTGAGGCTGGCTTTGAATTCAAGATCCTCCTGCCTCCACCTCCCGAGCCGCTGGGATTACAGGCTTGTGCCACCGTGCCCATCTAATTGTGTTCTTTATTATCAAAAGAATAAAAGCCATTTCTGTCCTTGGTGAAGCAGTAAAATATTTTTATTAAATCTTTACCCTTTGGGGTTGGGGTTGTGGCTCAAAGGTAAAGTGCTTGCCCAGCATGTGTGAGGCATTGGGTTTGATTCTCAGCACCACATAAAAATAAATAAAGAAAATAAAGGTATTGTGTCCAACTACAACTAAAAAAAAAATATTGAAAAAAATATTTCTTTAAAAAAATCATTACCTTTGATTTCCTACAACCTTGAATGAGAAAAATTTGGTGTTACGATTTTTATAATTTTTTTTTATTTCTACTTGTGCTAATTACTGTGCCTTATGTTTTGGAAAACTCCATGTGATCTAATTTTTCTCTTAAGTTTAGAATCTAATTGGGAATGCAGAACTACATAGGAAGTAATGATACTTAGTAGCAAATTAGGACTGTGCTCTGTAAATGCTCAGAATAGATAGATGGTATTGTGTAAAACATAGAACTTGAGATGGACTTGGAAGAGATAGCATTTGAATAGAGAGGTGCTTAGGCATTAACAGAGAGGGGAGTAGCATATAAGAAAGGACTTAGAAATGAGATAGAAGTCAGGTGTGATAGTGTGCACCTGGAATCCCAGCACTTCAGTTGGCTGAGGCAGGATGGTATAGTTCAGTAGTAAAGTACTCCTGGGTTCAATCCACAGTAGCAAAAAGCAAACAAAAAATGAGATTGTGGTGGTGTGACAACTGAGCTGTTGTTGTTTTTGAGTTACAGAGAGTAAGATTAATTAGGTAAAGTAGAGCCAATTTGTAGAGCAGTTTAAAGCTAGGTCAAGGAGTTGTATATTCATAGGGTAGTAAATAAGCAACTGTCAGTTTACATGGGGGAGATGAGCTGCTTAAGGGTTTTTTTGTTTTGTTTTTGGTTCTGGGAATTAACTAAACTAAACTCAGGGGTATCCTACAACTAAGCTACATCTCCAGGCTTTTTAATTTTTTATTTTGAGACAGGATCTTGATAAGTTGCTTAGGGCCTGGCTAAATTGCTGAAACTGGTTTTGAACTTGGAATCCCCCTGCCTCAGCTTCGCTAAGGTGTATGCCACCAGGCTGGTTCCTTTTATTTATTCATTTTGTTTGTTTGTTTTGGTACTAGGAATTGAACCCAGGGAAGCTTACTACTGAGCCATATTTCCAACCCTTTTTATTTTATTTTTGTGTTTTGAGATAGGGTTTCACTAAATTGCTGAGGCTTTGACCTTGCAACACTCCTGCCTCAGGTGTGTTGGTTCTTAAGCCTTTTCTTTTATTTTTTTAAATGTTGTTTTTAGTTGTAGATGGACAAAATACCTTTGTTTTATTTATATGTGGTGCTGAGGATCAAACCCAGGGCCTCACATGTCCGAGGCAAGCGCTCAACCACTGAGCCACAACCCCAGTCCCATTAAGCCTTTTCTTTGTATACTAATAATACAGGGGATTCCAATGTAAAGATTTGTGTCAGGTCACATTTAGGGTTTAATCTGCTAACTGCAGTCTCCCACATGTGAAAATAAGTATTAGCTGGGTTTTGTTTGTTTTTATCTTATAAGCTCCATGAGAGCAGGGATGTATCTAATCTGTCTCAGTCTCCAGCATCTCTTTGGGTATTTTCCTGTGTATTGCTGTCATTATTCCATTCATTTTTAGTTGGTGAGATGAGAGTGTTCTGTACACTCAATTTAGTGTACAGAATAGGATAAAAAATTGAATACTAGTGTCAGCTATAAACATAAATCAGCAGCCTACTTGTTCTTGCCCTTGACTCTTTTGTGACTTAATATGAATCATTTGGATGTTTCAATGACCTTTATTTCTTTTTTAGCAGAGTAAATGCTAGGTCAAAGTTTGCCAACTATTTTCTCTGAGCCCAAAATTTAATTAAAACCAAAGGTAAAGCATATAAAAACATTTAGTTATAAGCCATATTCAGAACTTCACTGAGGGAATATAATATTATATTAATAAAAGTGATAAAATGTCCATCGTATTTTCCTAATTATTGATCATCTCTAAATTTAATTTACAAAATAGTCTTTTATAATTAGAGAAACTATTGCATTATATAAGTTATAAAAATTAACTTTCAAAGAAGGTACTTGTGCCATATATTTAAGATCTGATAATATATTTACCAAATATATAATTGTGTATGTCATTAAGTTACAAAGAGGTTATGTATCTTACAGGAAGCTTTTGTCCAGTGATCGAAATCCACCAATTGATGACTTAATAAAATCTGGAATATTGCCTATTTTAGTCCATTGTCTTGAAAGAGATGACAAGTAAGTACATTATTTAATAAATTTAGAATATATCCTTTGGAGACGGCAAGATTTCCTAGTATTTAAGTTTGATCTTTAAAGAAAAGAAGGTTGTGGGATGGAATTAAAGTCAAAAGTGAAAAGCAATGCAAAATAAGTTAATGTCAGGAGATGCAGGCAAAGGCCAAGTAGGAGTTAGTTTAACTTGATAAATTTATCATTATCAAGTTATCAATTTAACTTGTAAGGCTTGAAAATGGACAGAAGACAAAACTAGGGGAGTAATATACAAGTATCTTAATAAAGATATATTACAAAAAATAAAGATATAGGAAGAGGTAATATATATATATCTTTATATAGAAGTAAAATGTTTTGAACAGTGATTGGGGTTTTTTGGGTTTTTTGTTTTGTTTTTAAATGCTGGATAGATAGATGATGCATTTTAAACATATTAAAAGCTAGAGGTAGGAAATGATTGGTGATATTTGGGTCAGTGTAAAAATCATCTGTTTAAATAATTTTGTTGTTTTATAGTCCTTCTTTACAGTTTGAAGCTGCATGGGCTTTGACAAATATTGCATCTGGAACCTCTGAACAAACTCAAGCAGTGGTTCAGTCCAGTAAGTTGTTTATTAACGAACAAAATTGTGATTTTTAAGTCAGTAAAGTATATAACTATTTACATTGTAAAATAATAGCTACCCATTAGCGTTTAGGGCTGTTGAAATAGCTAATTTAAATATGTTACTTTAATCAACTTGTTCAGGTGACTGACATTTTCTCTTAGATTACTTTCTAAAACTGAGTATTTCAAGAGTTATAAGTGGAAAATTACTATGAGATATAGTAACTTAGGTGTATTTTTTTCATGAATACTATTTCATTCTTCTACCAAAGAGTAATCATTTTTTAAAAAGATATTTTAAGGATTGTTAAACGTAAGCCATGTATAAACTAGTTCAAATCATAAGCACTAATTTCTTAATGGTTTTGAAGGTGTGGGGAGCAGATGTTAGCCATGCAAACATTTTATATTCTAACGTGTGTTATAATTTAGGAAAAATAATCATCTTACATCCTACTAAAACTTGTTTAGTTTTGGGTTTAAGTATATTTTGTTTTGTGTTTTGGCTTTTTTTTTTTTTTTTAATATAGTTGGCTATCAGGTAAACTTAGGATTTCATAATGTCTTATTCATACCTCTGCTCTTTCCTGTTTTATGCCATCCTTAAAGATTAGAAAGAGGCTTAGAATTTATCACTGCTAGTCTGTCTTAATATACCAAAAATAGATAAGTGAATTTTTATTGTAAGTTAATATGATTGATTTACATACACCTACATAGTTTTCTTCAAAGTGGTATCTGAAGGAAGGAGATATCATTTGTTTAGTGTTTTATTATTCTGTTCATTTACAGATCTGACTGTTGTTCCCATCTTTATTAACCAGCTGATTCAGGTCTCAAGTGGCCCAGGAATCACAGGCCTAAGGACCCACAATCATACTAATTTTATATATTCAGAATTTCTTAAATAGTTTCTTAAAAGTTTAATCTTTGTTTTATTTGTGGGTGATATTTACTTTTTAAGGAATCTTTATTTTGGAATTAAGATCGTGGTTAAGGCTGACTTTGATTCCCCAACCCCCCACCATTATATTAAGTTAAGGTTGAATTTGACAGTTGTCTATATTTTAAAATTCTTTTTGATACTGAATAAGGAAACTGCTAGTCAAAAATTCTTACAGTAACGCAATTCTAACTTAAAAAAGAGAGCAGCCAGGATATATTTTTAATAGATTTCCATACACACATACATGTACATATGCATACATATATATTTTTTGAGATCTCAGCAGAAAATCAAGATTAATTTTTGTTTTATAGTATGGTCTTCAGCCTTAAGTGTGAACATGTTTTCCTGCTTCAGATGCTGTGCCACTTTTCCTGAGGCTTCTTCATTCACCTCATCAGAATGTCTGTGAGCAGGCAGTGTGGGCACTGGGAAATATCATAGGTTTGTATAAAACTTATAATGCTAATCCAACAATTATTGCCATATGCTAGGTAATAAAAATTACTACTAATAGATGAAAACGAAAAACAATTTGTCTTCAGTACTTGTTTTTGTGAGAAAGCTTCCAGAAATTTTGTATGTAAGTATAAAGCCTTTGAAAAACAGAAGGAACATTTTTGTTGCTTAAAATACTGTTTATATATAGTCAACTTTAAAATTACTTGAAGAATTATAAAATATGATTTAGATTTTATCGTTTTTTATCTTGAAATCCATTCTATTTCTCACCTTTCTCCATCAAAGACAATATTAAAAAAAAACGGGGATGGTGGCAAAACTTAAACCAGTAATTTTCCTCTTTAATGGAAGTTTTGAGTTTAAAATGACTTTTTGTTAATCTTTTACAGACTTTATCACATTCAAATTTAGTAATTTATAAAGTACAGTGGTATCTCCTACCATGAATCAGTAGGAAGTATTAAATGTTGTATTAAATGCTTATTAAATGTTGCACAACACAACCACAATTACTATACCTATTAGGTGTTCTCTGATAAATAATTCTATAAAGAATAATTAAAGATAATTTTAATATTTCAAGAATTAGGAACTAAGATCATCCAAACTCAAAAAATCAAGGAATTCTCTTCAGTAGAGAATGGGAAAAAATCTAGGGTCTGAATTATTCTGTGTCCCTGATGTAGAGAGAGATGTTATTGAGAGAGAGCACCTTTCTTATAGGTGTGTTTATTTCAGTAAGTGAGGTTTCTGAGTTACTCTTGCCACAGATATATTGTTGTTCTTGCATGGAAGTAACTAATATTGTTTTGATGTGCCTTTTTTTGTTTAAATTTTCATTAATGTATATAATTATACTTAATAGTGGGATTCATTATGCCATATTTGTACATACACATAACTTGATCCATCTCATTCCCTAGTACCTTCCCTTTTCTTTCCCTCCTCCCTCCTCCTGATCCACTTGCTCTACTCTACTGATTTCCCTTCTACTATTATTATTTTAATTATAATTATATATAAAAGCAGGAATTATCATGATATATTCATACTTACATAGCATAATTTCATAGATTTTATTTTCCAGTACTTCCCCACACTCCCTGACTTTACTTTATTGGTGTTCCTTCTATTTTCATAAGGGTCTCCCACGTAGGGCCCCCCCCCCCCCACACACACACACACTTTTTGTTCTCTTTCCTCCCTAGTCTCTCTTCCACATATTAGAAGAGATTCCACTCTTGACTTATTTAACTTCACAGATGCTTTCCAGTTCCATCCATTTACCAGCACATGGCATAATTTTATTCTTCTTTATGGCTGACTAAAACTCCATTGTGTATATAAACCACATTTTCTTTCTACTTTTGATTGTTGACAGGAACTAGACTGGTTTTATAACTTGGCTACTGTGAATTGTGCTGCTCTAAACATGTATCACTATAGTATGCTGATTTTAGTTTGTTTGAGTATTTACCAAGGAGTGAAATAAGCTGGATCATATGGTGGTTCCCTTGTTAGACTTTCAAAGAATCTCTGTACTGCTTTCCAAAGTGGTTGTAATAATTTGGCATCTCACCAACAGTATATTAGTGTATTCCCTGCCCCCCACATCCTTGACAGAAGTTATTCTTTTTTTTTATTATTAGTTGTTCAAAACATTACATAGTTCTTAACATAGCATATTTCATACATTCGATTCAAGTGGGTTATGAACTCCCATTTTTACCCCGTATACAGATTGCAGAATCACATCGGTTACACATCCACATTTTTACATATTGCCATACTAGTGTCTGTTGTATTCTGTTGCCTTTCCTATCCTCTACTATCCCCCCTCCCCTCCTCTCCCCTCCCCTCCCATCTTCTCTCTCTACCCCATCTACTGCAATTCATTTCTCTCCCTTGTTTTTTTTCCCCTTTCCCCTCACTTCCTCTTATATGTAATTTTGTATAACAATGAGGGTCTCCTTCCATTTCCATGCAGAAGTTATTCTTATTAGTATTTTTGATGATTGCCATTTTGACTGGAGTGAGATGAAGTCTCAGTGTGATTTTGATTTGTGCTTCCCTAATTGCTGAAAATGTTGAACATTTTTTCATATATTGGCCATTTTCTCTTCTTTTGAGAAATGTCTGTTGAGATCATTTTGCACATTTATCAGTTGGGTTATTGGGAGAGGTTGAGTTCTTTATATATCATGCATATTAATCCTCTATTGGAATACTAGCTGGCAAAGGTTTTCTCCCATTCTGTAGACTCTTTTTATGCTCTTGTTTCCTTTGCTGTAAAAAAGCTTTTTAATTTGATGCCATCCCATTTATTGGTTCTTTATTTCTTGAGCTTGAGAAATCTTATTAAGGAAATTGGTGCCCATGCCTATATGTTGGAATGATCCTGTGTTTTGTCTAGATCTTTATCCACTTGAAGTTGATTTTTGTACAGGGTGAGGGGTAAGGATCCAGTTTTATTCCTCTTCATGTGGTTTTCTAGTTTTCCCAATATCATTTTTTTAAAAAGCTATTTATTGCCAGGTGTGGTGGCACCCACCTGTAATCCCGGCGACTTAGAAGGCTGAGGCAGGAGGATCACAAGATCAAATAGCCAGCCCCAGCAAAAGTGAGGTACTGAGCATCTCAGTGAGACCCTGTCTCTAGATAAAAGACAAAATAGGGGATATGGCTCAATCAAGTGTCCCTGAATTCAATCCCTGCCCCCCACCACCACCAAGAAAAAGGCTATTTTTTTTTTTAAAGGCTATCTTTTCAACCGGGTGTTGTGGTAAATGCCTGTAATCCCAGCTACTCAGGAGGATCACAAGTTTAAAACCAGACCCAGCAACTTACAGGGACCCTTAAAATTTCTTTTTAATAAAAAGGCCTAGGATATGGCTCGATGGTTAAGTGCCCTTGGGTTCAATCCTCTGTTCCAAAAGTAGGAGGGCAGCTATTTTTTCCTCTAACATAGGGTTTTGGCCCCTTTGTTGAGGATCAGATGACTGTATTTATGTTAGCTTGTTTCTAAGTTTTATTCCATTGGTCTTCACATCTGTTTTTATGACAATACCATGCTGGTTTGTTACTATAGCTCTGTAGTATAATTTGAGATCAGCCAGTGTTATGCTATTGGCATCATAGTATAATTTGACTGTTCTGGGTCTTTTTTTCTTTCATGTGAATTTTAGTACTGTATTTTCTATATCTGTGAAGAAAATCATTGGTATATAATGGGGATTGCATTCAATCTGTAGATCACTTTGGGTAATGTGACTAATTTTTCCATATTGATACTACCTAGCCAAGAACATGGGACATCTTTTCATCTTCCAAGGTCATCTTCAGTTTGTTTCTTCAGTGTTCCATAATTTTCATTGTAGAGGTCTTGTATCTCTTTGGTTATATTTATTTCCAAGATTTTGGAGTTGGGGGGAGTTCTGGGTTTTTTCCTTTTGTTTGTTTTTTTATTTTTGAAACTGTTGTGAATGGAATTGTTCTCCTGATTTCTTTCTCAGCAGATTCATTATTGTGGTATGTAAATGCTATTTATTTTGTATGTTGATCTTGTATTATCCAGAATAATTTGTTTATCAGCTCCAAAAGTCTTCTGGAGTTTTTTGGATCTTCGAAGTATAGAATGGTGTCATTAGCAAACAGATAATTGACTTCTTTTTCATATTTATATTTCTTTAATTTCCTTCTCTTGCTTGATTGCTCTGGCTAGAGTTTCAAGAACTGTGTTGAATAGGAATGTTTAGAGTGGGCATTCTTGTTTTGTTCCTGTTTTTAGAGGAAATACCTTCAGCTTTTCTCCATTCAGTATGATGTTGGCTTTGGATTGTGGAATATAGCCTTCATGATGTGATGTACCTCTTTGTTGTCCTCTGAAAGGAACAGCATGGAAAATGGCATGGTTATGATTGTTTTTTTAATGGGAGGATTTTCTCTATAAAATGATCCCAGCATAGGGACTATTGCTATAGGAATTACATTATTTGTATATGCAAGGGATCCTTACTCCTTTGCTTTCTTATCTCCAGATATAGTAGTGTAAGGAAAGGTCTTTATTTTAATGGGAATACTTCATCGCTGCTTCATATTAGAAATTATAGTGACACACTATAGATATAGAAATTAAATTTGACTGCTATCTACAGTACTGGTTCTTAAACTTTAGTGTGTTGTCAGAATCACATGGAGAGCTTGTTAAAATACAGAATCCTGTACCCACAGTTTCTGCTTAATTATTATTTCTGGGCTTTAGCTCAGAAATCACTACTCTACTACTATTTAGTTCTCTCCTTTTTTTTTTTTTTCTGACATAGTTTTCTAAAGCTATAAGTTATAGTCCCTACTCTTGGTTCTCTGATAGTGGATAAGTATGAACTCTCTCTATATTTTTTCTTTTTAATGGCATTTTACACATGGGGCGGGAGGAGAAGGGTATTACTGGGGATTGAACTCAGGCCATGCATATGCTAGGCAAGCACTCTGCCACTGAAGTACATCTCCAACCCTTTTTATTTTTATTTTGAGACAGGATGTTGCTAGGTGGCCCATCCTCCCCTGGAATTTGTAATCCTGCGTCAGCCTCCTGGGTAGCTGGGGTAATAGGCATGTGCCACCATGCCCAACTGTTGATATATCTTTTTCATTAGATGAAAATGTGTTACACTAAGCATTCTATTGATTTTTGGAAAAATAAAAGAAATGGTTCTTGGTTCACAGAGTTATTTTTAAAGACTTAGGCTTCCAGAGTTCAACTGGCATAAATATATTTTATAACTGACAGCTTATAAGGCTGAAGTTGTAAATAATGTGCAAAAGAATACCTTAGCACTCTAGGTAAAAGACCTAGAATGAAATTAGTTGTCTTATTGCTAAAACGTTTGCATAAAACTGAATTGTACTCTGGCTAAAATACTTAAAGGAGCATTTTGTACCTGGTGCTTTATGTTTTCTAAAAATGCTTATTGTTAATTAATTAATCTTTTCTACAGGTGACGGGCCACAGTGTAGAGATTATGTCATAAGTCTTGGAGTTGTGAAACCTTTACTTTCATTCATAAGTCCATCTATTCCTATAACATTCTTAAGAAATGTTACTTGGGTTATGGTCAACTTATGTCGTCACAAAGACCCACCACCACCAATGGAAACCATTCAAGAGGTAAACAAATTTTAAAAATCAATAAGTAAATTAGTTACTATTATGTGTATGTTTTTATTTGTTTTTAAATCTGTGTATTCTCTCCTCAGATACTTCCAGCCCTTTGTGTTTTAATACATCACACAGATGTAAATGTGAGTAAATGTTCCTCATCATATATTTTTTTACCTGCATGTATGTGTATATGTGCATGTTTGTATATGTAGGGCTCCCCATGCGACGTAGAGTAAAAAATATATCAAGATCATGATAGTGTATTCTCTGTCAGATTTTACTATTCTAAGACCTACAATGCATATCTGGTATCTTTTTATTTACTCTGTTTTTCCTGTGTCACAAAATACAATTTCAGTAAAGAAATAGAGCCTATTATAAAGTTGGCACTTAGTAATCACTCTCACTAAGATCATGTTTTATATTTATGCACTTTTTATGGAATCTCATTTTGGCAGTCTGGCTATTGAATGCATATGGTGGTTTTTTTGTTTTTGAAAGATAAAGAGAAATATTGGTGCTCACATGCTTGAATTTTTTTTATTTTTTGGTATCAGGGATAGAACCCAGGGGTGCTTAACCACTGAGCCATATCCCTGGTAGGTGCCGCCAGCCCCCACACCCCCACACACATTTTTTTTTGGCGGCGGGGGTGGGGGGTGGGGAATTGGTTTTGCTAAATGCTTATGGCCTCCCTAAGTTGCTGAGGCTGGCTTTAAACTTGGTGTCTTCCTGCCTCAGTCTCCTAAGTCATTAAGATTATAGGAGTATGCCATTGTGCCTGGCTTATATGCATGAGTTTGTATCCATATGTACACATGAAAATCAGTTGCTCTTAATTCTGTTTTTACTTTGTTTCTCCAGTTATAGTGACTTTTAGCTTCAGTTAGTATAGGGAGAACTATTGGTTGTCCAACTAACAAGGGGAGAAAAGTCAGTACAGGCAAGATAAAATCTTTGTAATGTTAAAGACATTACAAAGATATCTTGCTTATTCTTACTAACACAAATAACAAACGAAAAAACAATGCAGGGAATATAAATAAAGTGGAAAACTGCTGTGACTGCTTATAAAAGCCAGACCAGCCAGACTAGCCTTTGGTGTGTTAAACTAAGAATGTGTGCTAGGGGTATAACTCTGTGGTAGGTTCAATCCCCAGCAGAAAAAAAGAAAACACACACACAAACACACACACACCCATACAAGCAATATAGTAGGTAAGGAAAAACACATGAATATATAGTGACAATCAGGAATTCTTTAAAAATAGTCGGCACAAAGTTGCCTGTCTATAATCCCAGTGACATGGGAGACTGAGGCAGGAGGATCACAAGTTTGAGAATAGCCTTAGCAACTTAGCAAGACTCTGTCTCAAAAAAAGAAGGAAAGAAAGAAATGCAAAGAACTGAGGGTGTAATTCAGTGGTAAAGTAAGTGTCCCTAGGCTCAATCTCGAATATTATCACCAAAAAAAAAGTTCAGCAGCTGAGTTTAGTGGTACAAATTTATAGTTTTCAGTCACTAGGGAAACTGAGGTATGACGATAATAGACTCTAGGAATTTGAGGCCTACCTGGGCAACATAGCAAGACCTTCTCTTTCAAAAAAAAAAGAAAAAGATAAACATTTGATATGGTGACCAGTTTTAAGCTGTTGTTGCCCAGTTTCTAGGGATATATTTCTCTAAAGCACATAAGGCAAATTAAAGATAGAATATACTGTGGCAAGTAATGACATAATTTACAAAATTCATAGGTAAACATGATCTCTACTCTAAAAAAAATGTTTTTTTAAGCTCCAGATAGTCTAGGACTTAAAAATATACATATATATAATATATAACAAGCAATTTTTGCTTTTGGCTCCTTATAGCGAAAATTTTGGTTAAATTACAAATTTTAGTATTTTGTTTTTGAAAGATTCACGGGGAAGATTAATCTCCAAGTTTATATCTTTTTTGGAAAATCAGGCATTTTACTTGACTTTACTTAGCAGTATATTTTGTTCTTTCTGCCTATTCACTCCAATCTAGATGAGGTTATAATTCCATTTTTCTTATTTTTGATGTATCTTGGAGGAATTCATTTGCATTGTTCTTCTTATAATGTAGTGTACTAAATATTGTTTAACTAAAAATAAAATCTTAGATAAGCTCTAACAATAAATTCTTAAATTATGCCATCAAAGATGTTATAAAAACTGCTTTCACGAACAGTGCCATTACACTGACATTACGCTGTAGTTACAGTTAGAAAACTTATAGTAGAATGTAAACTTTGATACAAAAAAATATGCTAGAGGGTGGGGGTTGTGGCTCAGTGGCAGAGCGCTTTCCTTGCACGTGTGAGGTTCTGGGTTCGATCTTTAGCACCACAAACAAAATATTGTGTCCATGTATAACTATTTTTATTAAAATTTTAAAAATATGTTAGAGATCTAGTTTGAATTGGGTTGTAAGTTGGATCTGAGCACATGAATGACATGTTTAGCATTAGACTTTTAAAAAGGGAAGGATGCCAGGTTTTTATGTGCAGTCATGAGCAAGTAACTTGAAATTTTTGGCCTGTATTAACAGATTCTGTTAACGCTACAGGAAAAGAAATAGTTCCATTTGAAAATTGAAATAGTTGTTTCACGTATATTGATACTAGTATATTTGAGTTATTTTCATGAATGTCTTCTTTTACATTGAAACACATCCTTAAGCATTTTCTTGAGTTTCTGAAAGAATAATGACAAAGTGCTGTTGTCTCCTTTTTAGGGCCTCCTTGATTGTCTTAAAGTATAACATTTGTTTGTAATCTTAAAAGTTTTAAACTTCTGGCTTATCCTTTGATACAGTGTTGACATTCAAGAAAGATTTTGGAAGTAAAGTTCCAGGCACAGTTATCTTTCCTGTGGTTTCTTTCTTTTTCTCTTACTTTTTTGGTCAATAATTGTATTTATATGCAGCAGTTAAATAGTTGTGATACTACTCTTTGGCCATAATTTCTAATTGGTACTTAACACCCAAAGAAAGAAAGATCAAACATGACCTGCTGCACTTCAGAATATACTCGCTAAAAATTTGTAGGCCGTTTTTTTTTTTTTTTTTTTGAGTAGCAGGTGGTGTAGATTTTTTTTTTTTGCTTGCTTGTTGTTTTAATGTTTTGATCTGTAGCTTTGGGGTCTTTCTTGTATTTAGGAAGTTGCCTCCAGTTTTATAAGGCAATGCAAACTAGTTGGAGAAGATTAAACTGCTATAAAACTAATACCACTATAAACTAATACTAATATTGTCTTTAAGTATACCTGTATGGTATATCCATATAGTATAGATGTTTAAACCATTGTGCATGTTGGATACCTATAGTCTTTCCAGCTATATACATAAGCTACAATATTTGTGGGCCTGTTATCCCTTAGCCTGAGCATTTGAGAAAGAAAATTACTTTTTTTCCTATTTCATGTGCTTTGTAGTACATATATAGGTTGGTGAATTAAAAATAGATATTGGCATGGATTTGGGACCATAATTAACCTACACTTCTGAATTTGGCTAAATGATGCACAATAAAGATTCTAATGAATTATGGTAAGAGAAGAAAATAGAACAATCTTAGGAGTATGGGTAAAAATTACTGCAATGAGAAAATATTCAAAGACTGTTGGAACTTTTATTTATTAGATATTGGTAGATACGGTCTGGGCCCTCTCTTATCTTACTGATGCTGGCAATGAACAGATACAGATGGTAATAGACTCTGGAATAGTTCCTCACTTGGTTCCTCTACTCAGCCACCAGGAAGTTAAAGTTCAGGTAAGTTTGTTCTTGATAAAATCATGTTTTCTTACCATTAGTTACTTTAAACATGGCATTCAAAGATAGACATATCTTTTTACATTTCAGACAGCTGCACTTAGAGCAGTGGGCAACATTGTTACTGGAACTGATGAACAAACACAAGTAGTTTTGAACTGTGATGCCCTCTCACACTTTCCAGCACTCCTGACACATCCCAAAGAGAAAATTAATAAAGTAAGTATTTTAAAATAGTATTAAACTGGTAGTTTTCATTTATATAATTTGGGTCCCAGAAGTATCTGTAATGTTATTAATTTAAACTGTCATGTATGTATCAAGAGAAAGTATATTACTCTTTAGAAACACAAATTGGTATATAATTTTTACATATATAAAATAAGTTGCACAAGTGTTTTTCTTTTCTTTTTTTTTTGTTCTCTTTTTCTTCTTTGGTGCTGAGGGTTAAACCCTGAGCCTCACATGATCTACTTATAAGCATGTGCTTCACCTCTGAGCTACACCCACATTTATAGTGTGGAGTTTTTTGGCTCTTTTGGAAATGATGAAATGGAGATACTTGGGTGTTGAATGTTGTATGACTGAAAATTTTTAATATATTAATTCTAGATTAGTATTTTATGGTAGTTAATTGTTTGTGTGTGTGTATGTGTGTGTTTTTGGCTATGGAAAGGGGGCACTGAATGGTGATGCTGATATTGGAGTGCATCTGAGGCTGTTGTAGAAATAATAGGGGTTGTTGATTTACAACATTGCCAATGATTATAACCCCAAAGCAGCTCACCTAACTAGCCCAGCACCCTAAAATCTCTAACAGGTTCATTAAACATGGTCCTGTGATCTGATCCAAAAGAGCCTATTGTATAGTAGTCAATGCTAATATTTTTTAGAACAAAACATGTTTTAACAGTTTGTAGGAATAGAGAAAACGTTTCCCTTTAAAAAAAATAGGTAAGTTTAATAAATTTTAGTTAGGAAAATTCTGATAATATCCTACATAGCATATAGGTAGATATTTTATCTTATTTCATGCCAACTGTGGCTTTAGTAATTGCATTTATTATCTTTGAAACTTTAAAACACTTTGGGATGACCATCACCTTTACAAAAGTATAGCACCATTGTAATATAAAAGATAACATTACAAGATTATTAAGGTAGACCAATAAAGTAGTCAAGCATCTGGGTCCACTTCAGCTTTTCAGAGAAATGGTGCAAATGATTGAGTATTATAAAATAAACTAAAACAGCCCACTGTTTTATTTCTGATGTCTCCATTGTTATGAATAGTTGATATTTACCTACTTTGGTTAGGAGTCTAAGGGTAGAATAGACAATAAAGCTTATTACAGGAGAGAAGGCTATTGATTGTCATTTATAAAAGTTTTAGTTTTGAATTTCTTTTACAGCTTATTGTTTTTTGGGTATTTATCCAACCATGCAAGCTTCTTTGGAGTCATACTCTTTGGGAGCATTGTCATTGAGAATTCTTTAGAAGGGTTAGTTCATTGTGATTTGGATTAGGGGCCATTAGCTATTTGTTCAAAGAATATATGGAAAGGGGGAAGAATTGAAATTCCCAAGATTTTTATTATGGAGTTTACTCAGTAGTAAAATCATTTGGACACAGTACAAATGCTTTTTTTCTTAGTTCAGATACAGATTTTATATTTTAATGAGAAATATTGAAAGGATCTTCTTCTACAGGAAGCAGTGTGGTTCCTCTCTAACATCACTGCAGGAAATCAACAGCAGGTACAGGCAGTTATTGATGCCAATCTTGTACCAATGATAATACACCTTTTGGATAAGGTAAGAAGATCATATTGTACACATCTAAATAAGGGGAAAGGATTATATATAATATATAGTCTGCTTTATTTTTTATTTATTTATTTTTGCATTGCAATTCTTAATACATCTTTATACCACAATTTATCATATCTCTGATTGTATATAAGGTATGTTAACACCAAATTCACATCTTCATACGTGTATTCTGTATAATGATGAGGGTCTCCTTCCACCATCCATGCTATTCCCCTTCTCTCTTCCTTTCCCTCCCACCCCTATTCCCTATCTAGAGGTAATCTTCCTTTTTTTTTTAACTTGTTTGTTTTATGATGCTGGGAATCAAACCAGAGCCTCACACATTAGGCAGGTGCTCTACCACTAAGACATACTCCCAGTCCCTAAATATATACTTTTTTTTCTTTGTTTATTTGATTAGATCCTATAGTGATGCTAATATTACAGGTAAAATAGTGTTCGTATTGAAGCTTTTGAATCCAGCAGTTTTTTAATATGATTCATTTCTTCTTGGAAACCTCTGGCCCTTCTGTATTTTTTCTTCCCAAAAAAGTTAGGTATTCACCCTAATAGATGAAGGACCTGTGATATAAAATGCCTGTCTCAGCCTCCCTAGCCATTGGGTTTACAGGCATGTGCCACTGAGCCTGGCAAGGGTATAATTTTTTGTCAGCTTCAGTAAATATAAAATAAGTGACAGGTATTTTTGTATTCATGTTATAAAGTGTAAAAAATGACTGATAGGAAAAAAGAATTAAGCATTAAGGATTTATCATGCTTTTCCCATACAGACTATATTTTGGAGTGAGCAATAGGTAATATTTTTGACGATGAGTTGATGATCGTGAGAACTTTTTTAGCAAGTTATTTATTCATTGACTTATTGGTATATTATAATTACACATACTAATGGGATTCATTGTGACATATTCCTACATGCATATGATATCATTTGGTCAGTTTCATTTCCCAGTTCTTCCCCTTTCCCTTACCATCTCCTTCTCCCTGGTCCACTTTCTCTACTCAACTGGTTTCCCTTCCTCTCCCTTCCATTATAAGAACTCATTTTTGAGGTGGGGGAAGGGACTGAGGATTGAACCCAGGTGTGCTTTACCATTGAGTCCCATTCCCAGTCTTTTTTATTTTTTTATTTTGAGACAGGGTCTTAATAAGTTGTTTAGGGTCTTGTTAATTCTCCCAAATATGAGAATTCTGAAGAAATGAATCATGAAAGGAAGCTATCAAATATTATAGGGTTATCTTTTATATACAGTACAGTTATACATTTTTTGAGGCATACCATTGATGGCATATATCTTATGGATAAAAAATTGTTTTCAGCCTAAGGAAGAGATGTAAATATATGTAAAATATATTTATAGTATCAAAATAACAAGTCACATTGCCATAAACAACATGACTACTGAGGGTTGACTACTGAATGTACTTTTGGGTCAGGGGATATAGGGGATTGAACTCAGGGATACTTGACCACTGCACCATATCCCCAGCCCTATTTTGTTGTTTTTTTTTGGGGGGGGGGGGTGTACGTGGGGAACAGGGTCTCACTGAGTTGCTTAGTGCCTTGCTTTTGCTGGGCTGGCTTTGTATTTGTGATCCTTCTGCCTCAGCCTCCCAAGCTACTGGGATTATAGGCAAGTGCTACCACGCCTGGCTTTGAATGTACTTTTTAAAAAATTTTTTAAAGATGTTGATTGATCTTTATTTTATTCATTTAATTATATGTGGTGCTGAGAATTGAACCAAGTCCTCGCACATGCTAGGCAAGCACTCTACCACTGAGCCACAACCCCAACCTTTGAATGTACTTTTAAAAGATGTATTTCTAAAAGATGTATTTCATTAGCGAAATACTTAATGTGTACCTCTGAGTGTGGTTAAGCCACCAACTTGACACACAGATTGTTTGTTTGTTTTTATAGTTGTAGATGGACAGAATGCCTTTATTTTATTTGTTTATTTTTATGTGGTGCTGAGGATGGAACCCAGTGCCTCACACATGCTAGGCAAGTGCTCTGCCACTGATCTACAGCCCAGTCCCTGTTTTTTATTTTTGATAAGCATGTTACCTTGGTTTTTCATTTCTTGTTAAAAATATACTTTTGTTTTCAGGGCACATATTCAGAGGTCTGATTTTCATTTCCGCTCCTCCCTCCTTATTCCTTTAGCTAATCATTTTACCCACTTTTGATTTATCCTTCCATTATTTCTTTCTAAAATAGAAGCAAATGGATATGTATGTGGTTATTTCCACCCTTATACAGAAAATAATATACTGCATATCCTCGGGATACTGGTATGTTTGTGTGTGTGCACATAGATAAATGTGTGTCTGTGTGTGTGGGTATGTGTGTATAAGCACTTGAAAAATCTTTCCAGAAAACATTTTCTCTAGTTATCCATATATATCCTCTTGTCTCAGCCTTCCAAGTCTCTGGGATTATAGAGTGTGCTACCATGATATATAAATATATGTGTGTGTGTGTGTATATCCATGTATACACACGCACATATACTCATGCATACACTGGAGATCACTTTCATGACATTATAAAGAGAGCTGCTTTATTCCCTGTTTGTATTTCCCTTATTCTTCTTTTTATTATATAGTACTATGAATAATACATTATATGGATGCACTATAACATAATCAATTATGCATGACATTTGAGATATTTCTAGTATTTTGCTGTTGAAAATAGTGGTGCTTTCACAAATAGCTTGTAAGGGGTTTGTTTTGTTTTGTTTTTACCCTTTTCCCAGGTTGTATTTAGGATTACTGGAAATATACAAAAACATATGTAAATTTTGTTATATAGTGTCAATTCCCCCTCTTTGAGGACTGTGCCTTTTTGTACTCCCACCAACTTCACTGACAAATACTTGGATTTTCTTAACCTCATTTAGTACTGCTCATTTAGTAGGTATCTGTAATTAGTTATATTCCTATTATAAAGATTTCAGTTGATTTTTACTTTTTGGCTGTGCAATTCCCATATTTTCTTGGTAAATTCTAAAAGATGAGATTATAAAGATATAGATCTCATTATATAAATAGCTTCAAAAAGCACATATATGTATACATATTCAGAAATATTTACATACACATGTGTATCTTTTTTATTTATATAAACAAATATATATACACATCTTTTTAAGTTATTTTTAAATATTTTTTCAATTTGTATTTTTGTAGTGAAGTTACAGATTTTTCCAAAATTTTCTTTACTGATTTTATTTCATCCTTATTGTCATCTTTATTTAATGTGATAGCATTGAATAGTAACATTAAGTCAAATTGTTTCCAGGAGAGTTTCCAAAAAGAAAATTCCTTTGTTCAGGGTAGATTGCATGTTACAAATCTTATCCTAGTAAGTAAAAATTATATATATATGTAGAAAAGCTAGAAGGAAACCTGGAGAAATAAGCACTTGAAAAATAATTCCAGAAAACATTCTCTTTAGTTATCCTTATATTGCCAACAGTAGCCTTTTGCTTTGCTTTTATTTTTTTTAGGGGGATTTTGGCACTCAGAAAGAAGCTGCTTGGGCCATAAGTAACTTAACAATTAGTGGAAGGAAAGATCAAGTAAGTTTAACTTTTACTTATTTCTTAAAAGTGGTGTTAAAAAAAAAAAATAGTACAAACAGATTATATGATTTAGATATAAGTAAACCACAATTTAAAATAATAGCAAGATAAATATTATGTGATTTGGGGGGACAGGGGGTAGGAGGGGTGTGTGGGGATATTACTGGGGATTGAACCCAGGACTTTATACATGCTAAGAATTTGCTCTACTGCTGAGCTGTATACTTCCAGCCACTCTTCTATGATTTTTTTTTCATATAGAATATCATCCTTTGGCCTTTTTTTTAATATATGTTTTTTTTTTTTTTAGTTGTAGGTGGACGCAGTATATTTATTTCATTTTTATGTGGTGCTGAGGATCGAACCCAGTGCCTCATGAATGCTAGGCAAGCACTTTACCGCTGAGCCACAACCCCAGCCCCCACTCTTTGACCTTTTTTAATCAAAAAAGAGAGGTGATTTTTTTTTTTTTCCCCTACCTGTCCAGGAGCTAGGGATTGAACCTAGAACCTTTTGTAGGCCAGTAAATTCTCTACCACTGTGCCAAATCCCCAGAAATCTTAGAAGAATTTCTAACCTATAATAAAATCAAGGGGCCTAAAATTAGGGTTGGGTTGTTTTTTTAACAGTACTAAGAACAGATTTTGGGGGTGGTGAATATGGCAGAAAGAAATTGTCTCACAGATTCTCCTAACAAATGAACAACAGGAGCAAAAATTTTAAAAATCATCGGCAACAGCAAATTCCTCAGCAGTTAGAAATTAAACTTTACTAGATGGCTGCGTCTAGGAACTAGGGTGAGAAACGTGAGGTGCATAGGGTTTAAAACTTAAAAGCTGGGGATTCCAGGGCTACATTATCACTGAGACACATTGTCTGCCCTTTCTATTTTTTGAGACAGGGTTTACTAAGTTACTGAGGGACTCACTAGGTTGCTGAGGCTGATCTCGAACTTGTGATCTTCGTATGTCAGCTTCCCACGTTGCTGGGAATATAGTTATACATTGCCATGCCCAGCTTACTTTCTTACTTTTAAAGAGGAAATGATTTTCAAAAGAAGTACTCCTTAAAGCAAAGAAATGTTAAGAAATAATAAGTTGAGTGATTCCTTCATTTTCACTTCAGTTTTTTTCCCCCCTTAAATTCAAGGAAAACAAACTTGCTACTTTAAAAAGAAAGGAAAATCAAGTTAATAATGAAGTTTTAACTGTGTCCTAGAGATGAAGTCATGTGTCCGTACTCAAAATTTCAAAGTGAAAAGCATTCTGTTAAAACATCTTGATATACAGATTTTGCCTACATTTTATTTTTTCATGTTTTTTTTAATTCTTTAGGTGGCCTACCTTATTCAACAAAATGTTATCCCGCCTTTTTGCAACTTACTGACTGTAAAAGATGCACAGGTTGTGCAAGTAGTACTCGATGGATTAAGTAATATATTAAAAATGGCTGAAGATGAGGCAGAAACCATAGCCAATCTTATAGAAGAATGTGGAGGTAAGTTCTTTATTAGCTGTTATTCCACATTCTAATTTTTTTTTGTAACTATTTTTATTTTCTGACTAATATACCACTTCTGTAGTTTTCTGTCTTAGATTAGTCAAGTAACAGAAGAAATTAATAAAATACTATATTCTATATATAGTCCTGCTCAGCCTCTTGCATGTATTTAGGTAACTGAATTGTTGCCTTATATTGAACAGGCCCTGTGCTAAAAGTATTGGAAAGACAATGGTAAACAAAACACAGTCCTTGCCCTCAGGCATGTAGTCTAGTTTTGAAGATAAATATGAACTGATTTAATGTGCTAATTACCCTAATAGAAATGTACAGCAAAATGGGATACCTAATCCATCCTGGAAGAAGCAGGAAGTGACATCTGAGCTGGATTTTGAGAGATGAATAAGGATTAATAAAGTAAAAAGGGATGAAAGGTGTTCCAGGCAGAGATAACACCATGAGCAAAGTCTGAGGTGAGAAATAGCATTCAGCAAATTATAAGTAGTTCAGTGTTGCTGAATCACAAAGTATGGGGTAGAAACTGCCAAGAGATGAAGCTGGAGAAATAGCCAATAACCATACTCCTTTGAAGTCTTATAAGTTTCATAGCACAGCAGATACTTTATTCAGTAAGGCAGTAGTTACCAATCTGGCTGTGCACCAAAGTCATCTAGAGTGTAAACAACACATTAGATTTCAATCTCAGAGTTCTTATATAGGCAGAAAACGGGAGTCCAAAATGTGGCTATGGAACAGAAAATAAATGTTTCCAACTTGAATAATCATAAAAGTAAAGGTATTTCTGACAGGAGCTGAAAAGTGAATGAGAGGAGAGGTAACAACAATAATGAGAGAACCCATATCAACTAAGTGGAGGAATCAAGACTTGAAGTAAAGCATGTTTGAAGTTACTAAAGTGACAATTGGAATAACAACAAGTAATGTATAACCATCCAGTTAGAAAAAGGGAAATGGAGAATGATGTTAGGAACTAATTAGGGAATAAGAATTAGTAAAATGAACAACAGGTATTTTATATGTAGATATTGATTGATTCTCAAATATTGCCTCCCTCACTGGAGATATGAAACAGAAATATGTGTTTTATAAACTTCCCAAAGGATTTTGCCATAGGGTATGATAGGCCATTGGAGGATTTTCCTAGAGGATTGGTGCTTAAATAACTGAGGAATGGAGCCTTTGGAGACAGAAGGCAGACCAATTAGGAAAGCATATACTGTTCAGGCCAGAGTAAATGAAGGCCATAATAACAGAGACAAAGGGGAGATGACAGAATTTAGAAATGGATGAACAGAGTTTTGATATTTGATTGAGGAAAAGGAAATCTTAGATCTCAGATTTCAAGCTATTTAGTGAGTATCAACAAGTAAGAATTGTAGGATGAATAGTTTAAATGAGGAAGGAGAGTTAACAAACTGTTCTAGATAGTTTGAGATTTAGGAGCCTAAATGTCCTTGTAGAATTTTGTAGGCATTTGAATTTTGTACTAGTAAAGCTCTGAAAATAAGTGAAGCTACAAAAGCTACAGATTATTGTAAATCCTCCACCCATAATTAGTAGCTAAATTTTTTAATGAAAGGATCACCAAAAGTAGAGTGTGTAGAGTGAAATAGGGGCCCGAGGTAATTTCGTTCACTTAAGAAATGGATAGAGGAAGAACATAAGTGAAAGGAGCAATTTCACTTTATTTCATAGGTCTTATTATTATTGCTCCAATTTCTTATTATTATTGCTCCAAGATCCAATTTGTAGATCAACAAGTTTCTGCCTCTGATATAATAAATTTATTAATGTTTACAGGGAAAATCCCTTTTCCCCTGAAATATTGTGATCTCTCTTTTTTTTTTTCATGTTTAAGTATGCTTAATAGCTGTCTTATGGATCAAATTTGTTAATTGCCAGTATCTTCAGTTTCTTTTTAGTCCATTAGAAAAACTTGGCAGATGTTAGAAAACAGGAATTCCGCTTTTTTATTTTTAACAAACAAAAGCAATTTTACATGTTATTGTTCTTTATAAGCATTGGTTACCTATTATTTTGCTTTATAAATAGATGTCCCATTGTTTGCTTATGCATTTACATGATATTAGACACTAAGATTGTTAATCTTTTTAAAATAAATATGCTTATCTTCCTGAATTAAATCTTTTTATATTTAAGATTTACCTATAGCGTTCCAAAAATTATAATCCAAAAATTTTGCAATACAAAATTGGGTTATACATTCAAGATTATTGTAACCTGTCACTATTTTTTTTTTTTAATATTATTGTTTCACTTCATAAAATCTCTTGCAGGACTGGAGAAAATCGAACAACTTCAAAATCATGAAAATGAAGACATCTACAAATTGGCCTATGAGATCATTGATCAGTTCTTCTCTTCAGATGATGTATTTAATAATTTTGTAGTTTTCTTAGTTTTATGTTAAAACATAATAAGTTTGAACAAAATAGTATATAGTAAGCTAGAGGCATATGCATGTATGTCCTTTCTGCAATTGAATTAAAATAGGTATGTGACTGTGATGTCACTTGCTTTGTTAACAAATATTTCAGTATTTTTAAATTTCTAATAACACTGAGTGAGTCACTAGTATATCCTTTATAATAGCAATTAGTTAATATACATTTGCATATGTTGTCATTTTTATTTGGTGACTAAGACCAAATGTGAAGATAATAGATCAAATTAAAATCACCAAAAATGATAAGGCACTATATAGTATAAGGTATGATATACAAAAATTTCTTCAGACTGTAACCATATAGTAGTTGGAGTTAAGAAATTATTTTTATTGCCTCTTTGAAAGAGTAAATCTAAAATTAAAGTAGTTTCTCCTTTAAAAAAAATAGAGTGGTTAAATACAACCAACAGTGGATTTCTTGGATGATTTTTCAACTTTTCAAAGAATAAGTCTTTAAAAGAGGACAATAGGGGTTGGGTATGTAGCTTAGTGGTAGAGCATTTGCCTAGCATGTGGGAGGCCCTGAGTTCAATCCCCACCCCTGCCCAAAAAATAAAAAGCTACTAAACCTTTTGTTAATATTTGAACATTAATCACAATGTGGTAGAAAATTTGTAGAAAAGGAAATTATAGACTGTTTACTTAGAGATGTTCACACTAAAGCCTATTTAGATTAATGATGCCCAGTTAAATCAGAAATAAAATCCAAGAAAAACATGCTCTTACAGGTAGCTTTAATCATGTATCTTAAAGTTGGGATTTTAGATGTACTAATTTGTAGTTAGGTGACTAATTTCAGTAAGGTGACAAGGCCTGTGTTTTCTAATATCTTTTTTACTCTCTTACATTGTGAGAAAAATAATTTAAATGATGTACATGGTTATAAAAGCCACACCCTAGGTTTGTAATTTTGTGGAATTTAAAAACAAATATAGTATAAAGCATATAAAATATTAGCCACTATTAGCAAGCTCTTGTTTTACTGTTTTAAGGTTATATGTCCCTAGTTGTATTAAAAGATTAACTAGGGGCTAGGAGTAAAACTCACTGGTAGAGTACATGCTTAGCATGTACAAATCCCTGAGTTCAATTTCTAGTACCCAAAAGATGGAAGGGGGATTGACCAAATAATACACTTACTTTCCAAAAGTGGTGGCTTTGAAAGGAAAGAAAAAGACTTTACATTGTAAAGTGTTTCAACTTTCCAAAGGATGGTAGCACATTGTTGGCACTCATCACCTAGTTCTTATACCATTGTTAAGGGTAGTAAAACAATTACTCTAATGCTTCTTGTGTATACTTTAAAACTAAAACTAATTTTTTTTCCCCCCTAGATTGATGAAGATCCTAGCCTTGTTCCAGAGGCAATTCAAGGTGGAACATTTGGTTTCAATTCATCAGCCAATGTACCAACAGAAGGGTTCCAGTTTTAGAAAGATATTGTGGAAGTTAGGTACAATGCAGCACTCAGATATATATATATATATATACATATATATAAAAAGGTTTGATCCATCAAGCTTGGCTCATGGGATCTGCTGCTGCATTAAATCGGGAAAGAAAATGTGAAGATTTCATTTGGAATCACAGGAAATGCCCAAATGAGGTCAAGATGGCGAGTGGGTGCGAGTGAGAATGAGTGGCAAAATGTAATGAAAACTTTACGTGGATGCTTATTTAGGTTGTTCAAAGTAAAAAGGGCTACGGGTCACAGATCTTCAGTGCCTGAGAAGGAACATTGACTTACTCTATATCAATTGAGGAGAAAGTGAAATACTGTCATCTTCAAGCCTTGTAAGCATAAAAGAGAATAGAGTGCCCATATAAGTCAAAGAAAATGAGCCCAGGCCTTGCTATAAAGCAGTGTGTGAATGGACAATGTTGAATGAATGTCTGGCTCGGTGATAGAGAGCCAGGTTCATCTTTCAAATCTAGGGCTCTTCACTCATGAAGCAGACTCCTAGTCCTGGAGTGACTGTGTACGAGAGTGTGGTTGTGGTGCTGTATGTGAACGCATGCAAGCTTGATTCGCCTTCGGGGGGCTGATAACAAACATAGTAAATCATGAAAGTGAGATCACAAGTGTTAATGTACACTGGACATAAAAACAAAGACCGGTTTAGCAGCAGACATTGGTTTATTCTGCAGCCTGTGTTTTCTATTTCCCTCTCCCCCAAAACCCTCACCCCATTTTTTTTGTTTTGTCGTCCCTCCCTCCCCCCCTATTTTTATTTACCTAGTATGGCTCTTTTAGTTGCTTCTCAAGTCAGAAAACTTTTCAGGAAGGTTTCCCTGTGCATTTGCACCAGATGAATGTTTGATGCTATGAAAAGCTTTCCATATCATCAAAACTAATTTGTGTAGATTTTTGCATGTAAAAAAATCATAAATTTCCCTCAAAATAGACTGTTGCAGTACACAAGTTACCATAATAGTATAAAACAGTAAAATGTGCTTAAAAGGCCATTCTTTTCATTTTCAGAGATAACATAAAGACCTTTGCATGAGGTAAATCTACAGCATAGTTCATTTTTAGATTTTGTTGAGTCCTGTAAAGAAGAAGAAGAAAAAAGTTTCAGTTGTGATAGAATACCGTGCTGTGTTTAAATGTTACTTGTTTTCAAATTTTGTTTTCTATGAAAATGATATGGAAACTTCTAAAATGGAATTTGGTGCATATGTACTGCTGAATAAAGACCGATGAAGAGGTTTGAGTAGATGTACAAATCAAGTAATGGTTTGAACACCTTTAATAATATGCCTAATATGTTCAATTGTTTTAGAAAATCTTTTTATCTTAGATGTAGGCAGCCATGAACAATCTATTTTGAGCCACTTTAGGGAGAAAACTTTGTATTTTTAAAACTTGCATAAAAGTTATGCAAGTGGTTTTTATAAATTGGAATAATGCCTCAGTTTTGAGGTTATGCACACTAAATTAAATGTGACATAAATTAATTTGTACAAACAGAACTCTTTATAAGGTGGCTCATTGTAGGAAATCCTGTGCCTTCCCCTTTGAGCACAAGTGTTGCATGAACAACAGTTTGCTATAAGAAACATACCAGATTAGCCACCATTAGCATCTATATCTACTTTGTGTTTAAAAATCAACTGGTAATTCTGAAACACTGTAGAATGGATAAAAATTATTTTGTGATCATAACTCTTTGTTGAACTAGAGTATTTTTGCAGCATTCCTTGTCATCAGAAACATGGTTAAAGTTTAAAACTAGAAGCAGCAGAAAACTAGCTTGTAAAATTTATCCAAGTAGAGTGCAGGCTAGGCTGTCTTGGGGAAATAAACATTAAAACTTAAAGCAATGTTTTACATGGGGTGTGTGTGTGATGTGTGGATTTTTTTTTTAAATATTACTGTTGAGTTAAAGTGTGTAACTCAGTGGCTCCTATTCTTGTCTTTCTTCAACTTTTTAAACTAGAACCAACATAACAAGAAGTTTCATAAGTTCTGTAATATCAGTCTGGACACTATCTATAATTATGCTTTCTTCCTATTAAAACCAGGGTTTTGGCCTTCTTCACTCTCCCAGACAAATAGACAACTTGAGCTTCATTTTAAGTATTAACATAACTTATATGGCTACAAATTGCATACAAAGCTTTTTTTTTTAATAGAAGACATTACTAGAAAGTGAACATAAGAATACTTTGCATAATTCTTGTTTTTTAGGAAGTAGTGTAGTTCAAAGCCAATGAGCTGGTAATAGGCCAAATTATTTTATAGAATATGTATCTTTAATTATTCCAAGGTCTTCCTGATGTTCTAAATATTTCTAACTATAAGACATTCATTTTCTAATGAAATTCTTAAGTGGGTTTTTTCTGTCTGAAATGTTTCAGTACAGATCATCAGAGTACCAGAGTTACAGATTTAAACACGACTTTTTTTTTTTTTTTTTTTAAAAAAACCAAGAAATCTGGAAAAGGGATTTTTTTTTTTTTTAACACAGTCTGCTAACATCTTCTGGGGGGCTGGGGAGGATGGAATAATAAGCCTCACAAGCCTAAATGTTCTTGACTTTTCATTTCTTAAACTGCCTTATCTAAGCACTGAGCCCTCTTCAGTGCTACAATTTTAAAAAAGAATGTTATATTAAGGTGTATGAAAAGCCATGGTAGTTTTCAAAGATTTTAGTAATTGTTTGATATAGTGGTATTAGTACTTTCCTCATTGCTCTGGACCAAACCTAGAGCATTTCTATAATTGAAGCAATCTAATCATTAAAAGTGCGTGTGGAAGCATTTGGGGGAGTAGGGTATTGTTTAGTTTGAGCTTTCCTTGACCACAATTCATAGGTTGAGGCTGTTTGTTTGTTTAAGGCATTGTAAAATGACTGAGTTTGTTGTAACCTCAGTGTAACTTGGGACAGCCTTTTCCAAGACTCCATTGCTTTAGTTCCCTCAGGAAAAGTTGCAGAAATTAAGCTAAGTTGGCTTTTAAGACTGATTGCTATATAACAAATTACCTCAAACTTAGTGGCTTAAAACATGACATGTATTTATTATTTCAGTTGTGGGTCAAGAGTCTAGCTACAGTTCTCTGTTTAGGGCCTCACAAGGCTACAGTCAGCCAGTCAGCTTCTGAAGCTGGGGGTCGTCTTCTATACCTTTAGGACAGAATTCATTTCCTTGCATGGCCGCATGCTTCTTTACGGCTAGCAAGAGAATCTGTGATCTTGAGGAAGACCCAAGCCTTCTTTCAAAGGTCCCACCTGATTAGCTCAAATCCCTCTCCTGTCCCTTTTGGTTAACTTAGAGCCTTAATTACACCACCAAATTCCTTCACCTTTGTCCATATTCTAGTTCTATCACAGGGGTTAGTTGTATCCATTATATTTACATAACCTGCCACACTCAAGGAATTACACAGTGTTTGCATATCAAGGAAGCCTCAGCCTTTGTAGAGTTCTACATATCATGAAGGAATACAAGTTTTTGGAACTTATATTAGAAGTGATTATTCTCTTACACTGCAAGCCTATTTGGGGGTCAAGATATCCTATGAGAACCTAAGGAAAACTGGACTATTTACATCAAAAGTGCACACACACATGCAGTTTCCATATAGTTTTATTAGAGAATTCTAGGAGTCTGTGAATTACAGAGTACAAGTAATCTGTCCCAACACTCCCCTCAAACAATTGAGTTTGAAATTAAAAAGTGATTGGCCAAGACCATACAGCTCTTAAGGGCCATTGAGGCCCAGATCTTTGTTACCATACCATGCAGTGATTCTTCCAATTAATTTACAACTAATCTCAATTTATTTAAGTTTGTGAACCAAAGGCAAAAAAGAATGTTTTTGCATCTTGCTGTCTTGTCTTGTATGTAAACTGGTCTACTTCGCTTTAATCAAAGACAATTACCTGGAGTTTACCTTTTTATGTATGAAACTTAAGTTAGAATTATTATTGACTTTTTAAAGGTCTAGCTATCTGAGTATTCTTAAATAATTTTCACTTATTGATTATTTACTCATTGGAAAAATCTATTATATGTCATCAAATTTAATATGAGGGAAGGGAAACAGTTTGCCCAGACAGACACCTGATCTAGTATTCCCAAGTTTATTGTTTTGAACATTTTAGGAGTTGAGGGGGACTTAAAACTTTTTATATAAGCACATTAATTAAGTTTTATTTTGTTTTGTTAGGATTAGGGATGTAACTCAGGAATAGAGTGCTTGCCAAGCATGTACAAAGCCCTGGGTTTGATCCCCAACGCCACCAAAAAAGAAATACAAAAAAACTTTTTTAAAAAAAAAATCACAGTAATAAGGGCTGGGCTTGTGCCTCAGTGGTGGAGCACTTTCCTAGCATGTGTGAGGTACTGGGTTTGATTCTCAGCACCACATACAAATAAATGAATAAAGGTCCATCAACGTCTAAAAATATATTTTAAAAACAATCACAGTAATAAAAAAAATTGATGCTTTAGGTCAAATCAAAACATAAACTGATGACCAAAGTGCTTTTGGGGGCAGAGTAGGGGGTGGGGGCGGAGATAGTGTCTTGCTCAGGCTGGTCTCTAACTTAGCTCAAGTGATTCTCCTTCCTTGGCCTCCCCAGTAGTTGGAACTGTAGGCACACGCCACTGCACCTGGCTCCATAATACAAGTTGATTTTTTAGTTAATAAATTTGGAAAAAATTATTTGTGAAACAGTGTGATTAGAAGCAACTCATTTTGTTATTAAATAGTCACGGACGGGGCTGGGGCTCAATGGTGGAGCGCTTGCCTAGCATGTGTGAGGCACTGGGTTTGATCCTCAGTACAACATAAAAATAAAAGAAAATTAAAAATAGTCAAGGACAAGGCAAAATAAAAACTTCTTTAAAAATTAAACCTAGCAATAACCTTCATTTCTAATAGACCTTTAAGTAATGGGAGTTTGATTTGGAATGTCCATACCGAACTGTATTTATAAAATTGATTGACAGCTACACACTTTGAGTAGCTAAGTGTGAAGAAAAATGTTCCTACATACTCTCAAATCTACGTCTCACCAGAGGACTGCTGCATTCCCTTATCACTTATATTCTGTGTCCTAATCTCACAAATTTCATCTTTTGTATTTAAATGTGCTGCCTATTCAAGGTTTCTTTGCTATTACAGACCATCGTTTCTTCCAGTGTTGTTCTTTGGAAAGGAAATTTTTATACCTTTTACTACTTACATTTTTATTATTCTTCAAGCATGAATTCTAGTTTCCCTGATCATATTTTATTTCTGATCGAAAGGTTGTAATAGTCTGTTTTTCTGTTGATAATTGAATACCTTAAAACAGGATAAGTTTTAAAGAAAAGAGTTAATTATTTTGACTCACAGTTCCAGTCCAAGCTCAAGGGACCTCATCTGGTGATGGTGGTCTTGCTGAAAGAGTCCTGGTGATCCAGAGTATCTCATACCAAGAGTATCGCATGTGTGTATATGTGTGTCTACCTGGCTTCTCTTCTCACACTACAAGAATTCAATCACGACTCCACTGTGACGACTTTGTCTAATCTTAAAAAATCCCCAAAGGCTTCAACTCTAAACATAGTTGAGAAGTCTTCACCCTCTTAATACCTCATAATGGGAATTAAATTTCAACTCTTGGAGCCCTGGGAGACTCTCAATCCTAGTAATAACTAATGAACTCCTGAACTGTGGCTATTTTAGTTTTACCCAAGATTTTCTCTAGCCTGTTTGTATTCTTTGAAACAACTGTTAAAAATTTCTAATGATCTTAAATCTACATGGCTTTTATGGTACAATCTCTAGTTGCTTGCCTTCCAGATAATTCCCTCAGTATTCTATTTCTCTGAGTTTTGAGCCCTTTGAGCCGCCCTTCCCTCATCTTGTGTACATAGTTACCTTCTTTATTTTTCTTTCAGTGCTGGGGATTAAACTCAGGGCCTTGTGCACACAATACCTCTGAGCTACATCCTCAGTCTACCTTTTTAACTCTTTAGTGAAGTGATACTATCCAACTCTAGGGCTCTGCTAAATGGTATTTTTCTTTCAAAAAGAAAACCATATTTTGACTCATAATTGTGGGGGCATCAATAATGACCTTATTCCCTCTCCTACAATATCACCATACTACTTGTTTCTTGATTGACCCCCTGTTCAACCCAGCATAAAACTTAACTATTGTGGGTATTTTCTATCTCCAATATTTTCAGTTTATATTTGCAATGTGCTGCCTCCATAAATAGGTATATTCTACAAATCTAGTGTTTCCCAGTACAATGTTCAGGATGCACTCTCACTATATAACTAGCAATTAATTCTGCTACATCTGTATTGTTATGTCCAGTTCAGTGTTCTTTAGTAATAGTTTTGGTTATCTTAATATTCTTAATTAAAGTTAACTGTTATTTGTGTATATAGAACTGATGCAGATAAACTCACATTCTCCCTTCCCTCCTCCCCTTTTAACCGGTTCAGTATTGTCTAAGGCAACTGTTACCTTAAATAGTAGCTTGTAATAGAGGTGCTAAAAGTACAGCAAAGTTTGCCCATAATCTCCATCCCCATACTCATTCTGTGATCCTCCCCAGCTGCAGGGAGTAAGAAACGAGAGCAGCATAGTTTTGTTTGCAATCAGAATTTTTTTTTTTCCATTCTGTGCCCCTTGAATATTATAGTGATTTCTTTCCTTCAAGAAATCAGGAAAACATCCAGGACTGTTTGCCGTCCTTGCCATCCCCATTAACCCTCATTTTGCAGTATGTTTTAGATTTATGGTAATTTTTCAGTCTAAAGTCTGTTCACTCATTACATCTGTGTTCCTCCGTCTGTTTGTCCACTAGATTGTAAGCTCCTTAAGGGCAA